GAGAGCAGAGCAGCCACATCTGCCACCTTTAGCTGGGAGGTTATCACTCTTGACTGCCTTTTCTAAAGGAGAGAGCTGGTGGCTGTCCTTGTGCATGCAAGTTTGCTTAGATTTCTGCAAGAACGTGATGTTGTTCATCTCGGAGATTCAGGCAACCAAGAGAGAATTAAAGCATGAGATCTGCTTGCTCATGACCCGAATCCCCTAATCACAGCCTCGTGTAAGTGAAGGTCTTAGGCTGGGTTGAGTAGAGGGCATCTCCATGCAAGAAAACATACATCTGTCCTCAGCCTTCCAGAGTTAGAGAGCTTACTGGTGTTGAAATGTGGCTGAAGGGTGCCCTTGCCTTGAGCCAGTGCAGCTGTGTGTGTCCCTGCTTTCCCCTGTGTCAGGCACGGCACCAGAGCCATGGTGAGGGCAGGTGCCTGGCCCCTGCGGTGAGCCCGTGCCTTTTGGAGCCCTGCCTTAATTTGGTTGGGTTCGAGCCTTAATTTAACCTCTGTTCAGCCAGTTTTTCTTCTTCAGATCTGGGAAGGAGCATTAATGTGGTTCATACAGTAGTGTGGCCACTTTCACTGACCCTGTGATTTGCTTCTGACTGTCTCTGTTTTCTGTGGATGTTTTTCATAGGGTGCCTCGCTGATGCCAAGCCGGTGGTAATCCCACACTTTGAACTTTGTGTTCTACTAATTCCGGATTGCGAGGCTGCAGCCAGAAATGTAAGATTAGCTGTTTTTTCAAGTAGGTGGCTGAACAGAAAAAGGAATTAAAAAAGAAGGAAAGGAATTTCATCCACTTTGGATGAACCGGTAAAGAAAAAAAAAAAGCGTTTGGCTTCAGTGATCAACTGGAAAAATGATCCCATTTTTGGCATGGAGGTGGAGAGAAGAGCATTTTAGTTGAAAAATGTAGAGGCTGTTTATTTATTAGATGAGAGGTAGAGATACTTGGCCTTGAAGCACAGTTTCAGCTTAGAGGTAGAGAAGAAAAACGGGAGGAGAAATGCTGCTGCTCCACCGCTGCTCCCTTCTTGAGAAGAAGTGCTCCAGTTTTTCTTTTGAAACAAGCTGAGAATTCAGGTTAGTCACTGTAGAACTGAATAAATAATTTCTCTGAAAAACACTGCCTAGCTTGTGATCGTAGCAGATGTAAAGGCAGATGAAAATGTTGCTGTGAGAGTATTTTAAAAGCACAGTTGGCTCAGGCTGTTGTGTAAACCAGGGGAACCATCTCTGATTTTCGTTACCCGAGGATCTGGTCTGCATCTTGTTTTCCATCTCTTTTCCTACCCCACCCCTGCCTCCTCCCATGATACAGAAGGTGAGTGTGTGCAGAGGATTTCTTGTAGCACGCGTTCAAGGACGGTTTTAGAGCTCTGAATTTGATCAGGAGGCTCCTCCTGGCCTCACAGGGGTGTTGTTTGCAGCTCCTGTGCGTCTCATGCGAGGCTGCGCTGCTGTCTGCTGAGAAAATAGCTGCTCAGCATCACGTTGGATACAGATCTTTGGGTTTTTGCTAAAAATGGGAGAGGTGTTCACGCACCGTGCGAATGTCCTTGAGAGCCAAGGAACACCTGTGTTGTCACCAGAAGGTTGAATTTATAGCGAGCTGCCTTCTCAAATAAGCTGATAACGGGTTAGTTGCTAATATCTGACTGATGGGTTGATATTGGCACTGCTGCTGTTAGTACGTCACTGAGGTCGAGGTCTTCTGGTCACGAGGTGGATGGAGCACGTCGGTCAGACCCTGCTCAGTGTGGGATCCCAGGCGAGGATGTAGGGATCCCAGCAGGCTGGGGTGAGGGCTCAGAGCCTCATGGGCTGCCCGAGTCTAGGAAGGAGGGAAGGTAGGGAGCTTGTGTCTAGTGATGGGTAGAGGAGAGGCAGGGCTGGGACCTGGACCAGGAGAAAGGCCTTTGAATAGATGGCGGCGTGTGAGGGAGCAGTGTCAAAGGCATCAGCATGAGCCTTGTTGTATTTGGGATTGAAGCATGGCTCCTGTGTACAGCACTGCTGTCTTTTTGCTATAGGATGACTGATCTTTAGGTGAAGCTGGATGGGTCAGACATAACTTTTGTTTTTGTGTGAGGCTGGGGCTCTGTCTGAGGAAAAGTTGGTGTTTGGTCATTGAAGTTTTGTGTCTTGTGGAAGCACTGGGGTGGGGATTTACATTGCAGAATGTGAAGCCAGTGTTTCATGTTGGCTTTCTAGCTATTGAACACGTGTGCTTTTAAAGAACATGTGGTTCTAAGGGAGGCTTTTGTCAATAAACTCTATGTTTGTGCAGCATGATCAAGAGTCTCATGGCTCTGCAGGCTGAAGGGGGATGGAGTACAGACAGGCCTGTGTTGGAGTCCCTGTGCGTTTGCTGTGCCCTTAAGGTAAAGGATTAGGCTTGAAGAAAAGGAACGAGGTCAGGTCTAGACCAAGAAGTACACTCTGGAATCTAGCCAAAAGCATAAGTAAGGTTTTTCCTGTAACAGCATCCTAGACGTGGCAGTTGTGTTGACTTAGCCGAAATGAGACTGACATCTGTAGGTCAGGCCTGATTAAAAGCAAAGGAGGGTGGAGAATAGCTCCACAGAGTAAAGAGGATTTAAAGATAATGGCAGGAGGCGATGCTCGGCCCTTACTTGCAGAATTTGACTTGGCCTTGGACTCTCACCCTGTGAGCAGGGAGCTCTGTCAGCCTGCAGAGCACTGTGACTGCTGCTCCTTCCTTCCCTTGTTTGCAGTATGTTTGGATTCATCCCTTCCCTCCAAGCCTGTGGCTCTTTGGATAGAAGTCTGACTTGAGGTTTTGCCTTCTACTGTTCAAGGGAAGCTTTCCATGCAAACCTTTGGTTTGCTGTAAAACCCTGTTGTGAAGACAGCATCCACCCCTCACTTTGTTCTACCAAAGGGTTAAATGTCTGGGTCTTTTGCTTGCTACTGATGAAAGACATGGCATTGCTGAGTATTGTGTGCCAGAGTCTGCTTCAGAAAATACTTCTGTGTTCCTTTTGACCCTTGCATCTTTCTGCCTACCTTCAGTTGTGCTGGCTGCCCAGGATGCTAGAGACTGTTTCTTTGCTAAGAGAGAAGGAAAGAAGAGAACAATTGCACTTCTGAAGCAATAACCCTCGTGCTTCACGTTGTTTCCAAAACTGTGGTTCACTGCCGCTAGTGGCTTTTTACATCCTGAATGTGCTGCTCTCTGAAAGGCGCAGAGGACTGCCATTATTTGAGATGGGTGAACTGAATCACAGGGAGGCCAAGAGACATACTACAAACACAATGAAGGAGCTTGCTGCTGCTGCAGTCAGAATGCAGTCAGTGTCTTTCTGGCCCTTCCCTAGGAGGGGATGGTGAGCCTGGGGGGAGCTTTGGGGAGTATGTGTTTGCAGTCTGCTGCCAGCCTTGCAGGAGGGAGACAGTCTGCATCATGTCCAGCTGCTGTCAGCTGCCCACCTCAAGCAGCTGTGGCTGGGCTGGCCTCTAGCCCGGCTCCAGAGAAGGGCTTGGATTTTCTCCCTGGGGACAGCAGCACAGTCTCAGTGCAGCTCTCCAGGTATTCATGCTTATTTATTTGCTTGGAAGCATTCTGGGACTGGTCCACTGTTCTGACTTTTCCCTTATTATTTCTGTCAGTGCAAAAATGTCTGATTTGATTAGGTGAAAATTTATGTAGTAAAAATCTGAAAGGAAGGGGGTGCTTGGTTTCTCCTCGAAGCAGGAGTTGAAGTTTCTAAATGAAAACCTTTTCTAAGCAAGATGAAAGTAGAGAATTACTCGATGGGGAAAGTACTGACTTCCCTACCAGCCTTGAATTGCCTTCAGTGGGGAGGAAGTGGGGAAATTGCCCTCGGCCTCTTTGGACCAGCTCTGCCCTGGTGGTTTTACCACGAAGTAAGAGTTGCACCAGAGCTGCGTTAGCCCCCTCTGCACTGAAGGGGCATGTGAAGGGTATGAGCATGGCAATTTAAACCCTGCCAGATGTCGCTCCCTTCTCTGTAGCCATGGCACTGCGAAGTGCCCACAGCGTTTCTTGGAGGTGCTCTTTGCATTCAGGCGCTCGGTCCAGCCAGCCAGCACTGGTTGTCGTGGTGGCTGTTCACATCAGTCTGTTAATAACTCCTACTTGGGGAAATAACAGTGCAAGCACTGATACTGTTGCACACAGTTCTGGGCCTCTCTGTCAGGAGACCGGCAATTGTTTGATTTCGTGGAAAATAAATGATCTCAGCTCTCATTGTAGTCCCTAAATTCATTTTCAGCTGTGACAAGGGCCAGGATTTAAACTTGTGTCCCCCAAAGTAAAACGCAGTTAATTAGCCCACTCTATCATGCAGCCATTCTTGGTTTAACAAAGGCAGTGCATTCAGCCAGACAGTTCTTGCTCATAAGCGATGCTAACCTTTTGAGCTGCATGTATGGCAGCGTGCTTGCTCAGAGCCTGAAGTCCATATGTTTGCATTCCCTTTTCAGCAGCGCTTCTTAACCCCTGTGTACTGCCTCATTATAATGCTGCTGCTCTCTGAGAAACTTCTGGCACCTGTGCATGTGTTAAGCTTGAATGATGATTTGTGTTACGGCAATGGATGTGGGTTCCTACCAAGATCAGTCTGCTGCAGAATGAAAGGGGAAGGGGTTTATGGCCTAAGGAGCCCCCAGGGTAACACATGGGATTGTGTGACTTCAGTGTCAGTAACTGCCCCCTGTGAACGGGGTTCATGCAGTGATGGAGGGATAAGTGAGATGGCCCCAGGCAGCTATTGGTTTCTGGGCTGGAGGAAGGATGTGGGAGCCCTCATCTTGAGTCCTTAGCTTCCTGTTCTTAGCTGAGCACATCTCTCAGGCTGCAAACCTGTTTGCGTCAGAGGCTGATAAGCAAGAGCTCGATTCCGAGTGCTGATGTGGGAGAGATCAGATGTGGAGAGGTACAACTTGCAGTAATCCAGCAGGAATGAAGAAGCCCTGTAGTAGGGGCTGTGCTGTTCCTGGTAGGTCAGGGAGGCGATGGGTACTTTTTTTTGCTGTCTCCCCGTTGGTTTGGATTTAGCTTGGAAAGGCTGGAACAGGGCCATGAGCTTCCCAAGCAGGTCAGGCTCTTGGGAAATTCTCCTACCCAACTGCTGACCTCAGGCAGGATGCTGAACTCGGTCCTGCAACAGGACTGTTTGGATTAATGTTTGTTGAAGTTTGAATCCTTTATACTGCTGTGAGGCTGCGCAGTCTTGAAATACTATGTTTCTGCCTTGTGTAAATACCTGATTGTTTCCCTGATGGCATCTCAGCATTTAGCAAACTGGGGTCTCAACACGCTGTCAGCTGGGTTAAGGGAAAGGGCCCTAAGTCTGGGTATAACCATTGGCAGTGCTCCAGAAGGTGCCTGCCTTTAAAAAGCAGAGGGCCTTATTTTCAGACCACGGCATCTATTTAGATTCAGGCTGTTCAGCAAGTGCACGTACTTGGCTGCTTACTGAAACCTATACTTACTGATATTGTAATCCAGAGCTTGTGTTTGCAGGCGGTGCCGCTCGGTTGAATGCAATCCTTGCACAAAAAATCATCTGTATGTAGATACTAGAATGTGAACAGTGATGGCTGTGTGAGTGGATAGCGGGTCAAGACCCTCTGAAAATAGAAACACATTGATGTTGTTAGCAAAAGCTGCGGAGCGTGTTTTCCTTGAAAATGGTTATTCAGTGTTGTCCTCGGTGCCTTTGAATTAAACATACTGTAAGAAAGAGTTTGCTGGAATTCTGACTGTACTGGAGGATTGGATATTGGGTAGTCATTATCAGCAGCCAGAGACGGTGGCGTGACCTGCTGAACAGACAGCAAGATGCATAGGTACTACCAGGAGGGGAATCTAAGGCAGGAAAACGCATGGAAAAATATGTATAAGTAAAAGTTGCACAGCCAGCCCTTATGCAGCAAATAAAGCAAGGTCTTGCTGACCTTGGCAGCTGTACAGGGCAGCCTTTGCATAAGAATGACTTGTGTTTAATATACTAGAGAAATTATTCAGGAACAAATACTCTCGCTTCATGCAGCATTGGGGACACATCTTTTTTTATTCCGTTTGCAATGTAGAAACACAAATGCACTGCAGACAGGGTAGGAGGAGCACTGACTCCCCTCAGGCACTTTCGGCTGCATGTCCTGTGTCTGGAGAAGGAAACTCAGTGCTGTCCTGCCCAAGCTGAGCTCTCAATGCTGTTAGCAGTCCCCTTTTCCTGCGGGGCTTGCGGTGGCTGGATGTGAAGGCAGCGTGATGGGCGTCTTCCTTAATTAGCCCATGTGGTTTGTGTCTGCTAACAAGAGATCTGCTGTACTGCAGGCACGCAAAGTAGTAACGAGAAGGATTGATAGGAAAATATTAGTGTGAAAGAGGGTGATGGCTTTGTTCCTCTATGAAAATGTATTTTTACTTGCAAATCTAGGCATCTGCAGCTCAGAAGGCGTAGGTGGGCTTGGGCTGTCCGGCCCTTTGGTACTGCCCTGTAGCAGGGCTGGATTGCTGAGTCTTGTCTGGCTACGGGAAGAGGAGCTGTGCCCAGGGCTGTGTCCTGCAGAGCCGTGCCCCTGGGCAGCCCAGCACCTCAGAGAAGTGCTTTGCTCTGCTGGCTGTGCTGTGGTGAAGCAAGCAGAGGGATCTCTATCTGCAGGCTGGCACAGGCACGATACGCATGACATGCCAGGAGATAGGGACTGGCAGACTGGCAAAGCCTTGACCTCCCTGTCAGCATTTCCCATGCTCTGGTTCTTGTATGCAGTTCTGAACCCAGCCAAGTACAGCTCACCTGCTATTCTGTGTGGGCAGGCGTTCCTGCAGAGCCTATCTGTGGTGGCTCCCCACATTGGAGCCTGGTCCCTCTCCATTTGAGCTGGGACAGATGGACCCCACGCTGGCTGCATGCTCATTGTGCCCTGGGGCCTGGCCAGTCCCCACACTGCCACCAGCCTGGGCTCTGCGTCTGCTCAGCTCCACGTGGCCTGGCAATCTCTTCCCTGCTCAACAGCATCGGCATTTCGCCGAGCTCTGCAGGTAGTGCTGCTTGCGGATTCTTACTCACTTCCACTGGTTTTCGTGAGGTTTTTCTCACCTGCTGAAGAGATCAGTGCCATAACTGCCCCCCCTTTGAGAACAAATCCATCCCGTGAGTTCTGCCGGAGCAGTTTTGGAGGGCTGTTTTGGAGGGATATTGGGAGAGGGCCAGAGATGGTGTTTGTTAATATTGATCATGGGAAGTGTAATTATTGTGGATATAAAGTGTTAAATGTAAAATTGAAATGGGAGATTTGAAAGCAGTCAATAGATCAATTCAGAGGCTGGGATGAAATGCTCAGACTTTCAAATAATAATCAGATTTCCAATGAAATCTCCATTGTGTGTAATTAAAGGGGTTGCAATATTAAATCAGGTGTTAACGGAATGATATTTAGAAGGTGTTGAAGGAACCAAGATCCAGACAAAAAGAGGGCGAGCAGAGCCCCTAATGGGGCATAAATGATGTGAAGTGTGGGAAATATATGAAACTAGCAATTAAAACCACAAAAAGGGGAGAACGATGGGAAAACAGCAAAAATCCCTGCTGCAGAGCCCAACACCTGTTTTGGTGGAGAGGGGCCTCGTTTGTCCTGGTAGATCCTTCATATTCCAAGGTCATGGTCCACCTATATGCATGCATGTCTACAGCTGAGATGGTCTTGTTAGCAAGCCAGCCTTCCAGAGAAGCGAGGACAGCACATTAAAACCCACCAGCAGGAAGTACTGCCATGCAGAAGACTTCCAGGAGATGTAAAAATGTTAATTACCAAACACCACCATGTTTCAGTTGATAAGAACCAAGGCATGCGATTGGTGCTTTGTGAACACGCAGAGGGAGCAATTAAACAGAGAGGTGAATTAAGTTCAGCTCTTCCCCCAGTGGGATATATGAGGTATCCAAGGGCACGTAGTATTTCCAGGACACTTCTTTGAAATCTGTGCTTTTTCCCTTGCCCTGCAATCCTTAAGTGTGCAGAAAAAGCAGCAGAGTAGTGACTTCCTAATTTAACTGGCCTGTGAGTAATGGTTCTGCTCTGCCAGTGGGCTTCATTTTCTGATGCTGCAAACCGTGCAGGAGGAAGCACCACAGTTCCCATTCCCCGAATACTTATTTTTGCTCTAATTCCTAAAAGGGATAACTCAGAACATGACACAGACTCTTTTACTATGTTTACTGTGGGCTCTGCGCCTCTGAAGGTAACGTTGGCATGAGATGGAGGGGAAAGCACTTCTGTGCTAGATCAGATGGATGAACTTTCTCGTTAGCCCTGGGCATTTATTCCTAACCTGTGCCTGTGATGTGATTAGCTGTGAAGGTGTAGCTGTGAAGCTCTCCAGAGCCTTGGAAGATGCATGTTTTAACAGTGTGCTCTCACTTTGTTTTGTAATCCCGGTGGCAGCCTCTGCTGGTTAGTTCTTGAGGTTTAAATGCTGATTAGGTTAATGGATTGTAATGTAACCCCACCCAGCTGGTCATCAGTCCCTTGGAAATGCCTTGTGATTGTGCTCAGTATTGCATAATTGCAAGCCCTGCCTTACCTGCAGACTTGGCGAGGCCGGAACTTAGCCTGCTCTGTGAGCAGTGGGGTGAGAGCAGCTCTCCTGGAGCTCTTCTGGTAAGGTCTGTAACATTTTCACCTGGCGTAGTTGGGCAGAGGTAACTCAGTCTTGTGCTGCAGCCTACAGAAGAGCTGCTTTGCTAACAAAGCCTGAATGCGGGCTAGCTAAATTGTGGGTCTTGTGTTCAAAATCACTGTTAATATATTTTTTTTAATTGCAAGGGTTGCAAAGGAGGCTTGTATTGAGCTCCTGCAAAAGGTGGGGAATTGTGACATTTCATCCCACAATTGCTCTGTCACTCTGACCCTCCCCTTTAAGGGAGAAATAAGCTTCACCAACTGCTGTCCATAAATCTTTAACTTACTGCTGACACTGGAAGTCCCTAAAAAGAAGTGTCTGAGAAGAGACTGATGCTTGGTCTGCAGCCTATTGAAGTGCTGGGGGTAGGGAGATCTGAGCGTGATGGTGGCCAGAGGCTCCAAGGGAGCTTATCTTCATCCTTCACGTGGAGCTCTGAGGTCCTTGCCAGAGGATGCTGCGGGTGCGTGGAGCTCGCATGAGTGCTGGAGAGACTGGACGAGGAGCAAGTGAGCAGCTGGTTGGGGAAAGCTTGTCAGGCAAACCACAGCAGGCTCAGGAAATCCTCTGAGTTAAAAATAGTGGGAGGCTGGGAGACTATCGGGCTGGGAGATAGCGCATGTCTGCCTTGCTGTTGCTCTTGGGTGGCAGTGGGTGGCTGCTGGCTGCTCGTCCTTGGCTGGGCTCCATGGGAAGGGAGGGCCGTCCCTCCCCGTCTGCTCCCTTTCTCAGAGGTGCTCTGAGCTGTGCTGTCCCATGGGGTGAAGAGGGGAATTTGAGGATATGGGTTGTGCTGAAAGGAAAAGAGCATCCTGCTCCGTGGCAGCACGGGTGGGGTGGTCCTCTCCTCACACAGAGCGGTTGGGGTTAAGCGGGGCCCTGGTGGGGCGGCAGCGATGCGTGCGCTGCGTCTGTGTCAAGTCCCAGTCCTGTTTTTCCTGACCTGAATGCATGGAACAGCTTGTTCTCTATTGTCTGTTAACCCTTACAAAGGCGCTTAATCTTGTTCTCTTTTGTTCTGCATTGGCTGTGCTCGGCGGGGTCAAGTCCCTGCTTTTGGTGCAGGGGCAGCGCTGCGCTCAATAGCTGTGTGCCGCACAGGGCTGAGCGGTGACGGAGTTAATTGCGGAGTGGTGATGGCCCTCCCCAGCCGAGGATCTGCTCCCATGAGCTATTTAAGCCTCTGTTTCTTGTATCTCCATGCCAATCAGATTAGCCGGTGCCAGGAAACAGACCTCAGCCTGCTTGCTCTTGAATGCACCCTTTTTCCTTCTTACCTGTTTATCCCAGTCAAGTCACTTCCTGCTCCACCTGTTTTTGGTTGTTTTTTTTTTTTATTTAGCTGTGTTCCTTCCTTTTCGTTTTGTCTCCTTCTGGCCCATCTCATCCCTCCCTGAGGTGATCGCACTGCATTCTGCCACCCAGCCCTGGCACTTGGAAATGGGCTGAGTCCTGTTCCTGCCATGCTGCTTTGCAGCGTGTCGCCTCTGCTCTGCCGCGCTGTCTTGTTCTTGCTCTTGCTTTCCTCCACAGTGCTCATCCTGCTGTAACTTGGCTTCCCCTTAATGTGCAGCAGTAGAGAGATCCTCAGTTCACCGGAGCTACTGAAAGTGCTCATTTTTCCAGCAAAGAAAAGGAAACGTGGTCAGGGGGAGGTGAGTGTTCCCTGCTCACGTGGCTGAGAGCTGCCCTGCTGCAACCGATCCCTGGGGCTGTTGCTTATTCTCCAAACTGGACCCCTCTGCTTTCTTGCTGCTGATTTCACTGAGGGATTTGCTGCTGCAAAAATAAACTCAACACCCCCAGTCTCACAGGACATAGTGTTCCAGCCTGGCTGTGTGTGCCAAAACAGGCCCATCCCTTGCCTCTTACAAGGCTCCACCTTTATCCTTATGCTAAAAATAAAAGGCAAGGCTATTCATTCCTTCCTAGTCGCTCTGTTCTGTTGTTCTGACCTTATTAGACTTTTCCAATATAAAATTTCATTGAACTCCTCTATTAGCGGTGAAAACAAACAAGACCATTGGACTTCCTCTGGAAAAAATGAATCTATATCACAGGGAATTGTAGGGAGCCAATTTTCCAGTGCTGAGTTTGTGCTGTATGCATGTGTTCCCTTGTATGTATTTCGTAAACAAAGTTGTCTTCACATTTAGAAGACTTTAAAACAATTTTTATCCTTTAGATCTGAACTGGCTTGCCTCCTCTGTTGGAAATAAGTAGCTTCTGTAATGTTATAAGGAGCAGAGTGGCTGTTAGCTGGGGTTGCAAGAAGAGACTTTTTTTTTTTTTCAGACCTCCCAAGCTAAATATATTTTGAGGCTTATGTATGTGCATGTACGTAGGAATGATAGCCAGGTGATAGATTGCTAAGCCACATCATAAATTCAGTTTGTTGGACACCTTTGATTACCTCCTCTGCACTCTGCCTGTAATCATTCTCCTTCAAACATCCTTCTAATGTTCTTAACAGCAGCCAATTAAAACAAAGACTCCACTTGCCATCTATCCCCTCTTTCCTCTGCCATCATCCAAGCTCTTTCCCTTGGGGGAAGGAATTAAGTGCAATGGTGTTTCCAAGAGCACGCTCCGGATTTGGGGGAGTATATCCCTGTTTTGCTTTTGTCTGCTGATTTTAAAGTCAGCTTTGGCAGATACCCAACCAAGCAGAGATGGGTGCTTGTGTGTTTGGGGCTGCAGGGTGCTGGCAAGGATACAGCACGTGGAAGGCACTGTTCATCCAAACGTGAGCCATGGCTAGCTAGAGCCTGCGTTCTCAGACCCCTGGTTTGATCCTGTGGTTTCACATTAAGCCAGTTGTTTTCTGGAAGAAAAACACACCACAAGCATTAGGAGGGAAATCAAAAGTAATTCCTGTTGCTAAGACCTTCCATGGGGGAGAAGTTGTAGGTCGTTGTGTTACACAGATGCAGGAAGGTGGGGAGATGATTGAAGATCTCAGGACTTATGTTGATGTCTGTGACTCAGACATCTTAGGGGGAATGGAGGATGTTCAGTCACTGCAGAGTTGATTCACCTACCTGGCAATGAGATGAAGAGCAATGAATAATAGATTCTGGGGGGTGTGGAAGGCAGGAGAGGCCAACACACTAATTTTAAGCAACTTGGGAAGTGCCTTAAGGGTGACTTTGTCTTTTTCTTGCCTTTTTTTTCAGAGCTTAGCTCTGCACACAGAATTGGCTCCTCTGTGTGCAGATGCTCAACCCCTCTCTGTCCCCATGGGCACACCAGGCACACAGCCCCTGGGCACTCACCAGGCAGGTGGTACTGGGTGTCAGAAGTACACTTTCAGAATGGGCTCTTAATCCTTCTAGGTGCCTTCTGGCTCTGCTGTTCCCCCCACCCGTGTTCTGCTGCAGTGCTTCTGTGCTGGCAGGGTGTTTATTGCTGTGCAAGCAGGACTGGAGCTGTTGGACATGCCTTTCATCCTGTTGCAGCCTGCTGGAGTAATGGGGCAGATGTATGTGTATGTGCATGCTCCCCTCCTCCCTCTCTGTATCCTGTTTCATGCTGTAATGACTCTGGGGTCTGAGAGGTCGCATCATCTAATGCTTAAACAGCCTCTACATCTATAGATGTTTTATAATGCCTGACTGCCATTCTTGGGTTTTATTTGCAAAGCATCACCAAGAGAAAGGTCCCACTTGCAGAGGGACTGAGCAGCTTTGTCCAGTGTCACTGGTGCTGCACACAGCTGAGGCAAGATTTGAGCCCCTGTCTGCAGAGTCTGGGATCTGCAGACTAGAGCATCTGTCCTGTGTAAGTAGCGGCCTATGGGAACTACCTGTATGAGAGCAGTGCCTTTGGGGCTTGAGGCTGGGCTGCCCTGGGTTTTCTGGTGTATGGAATGGAAAATAAGCTCTCAATTGTTGGTATGTTTGCTTTTCCTGATTTCCTGCATTTTTTTTTTTTAATGCTGAAAGAAATTATCCTAAGTATCTTGGATGCTTTTGTTGACTCTTCCCATCTTTTTCAGTCATCGCATTTGATTTGCAACCAGAAGATGCTGTTTAGGGCTGAGTTTAGGAATAAATCAAAGCTACCTTTTTCCCAGGTCTGAAGTCATTTCACAAATGATTCTTCGGTACCTTTGTATGCGTTGTGCCCTTCTGTGTAGCCCTGAAGTGATAGGTGCTTTCATTACTGTGCATGACTCCTCATTTTGTAACACATCATGTAATTCAGATGGATTTGAATGTAGTAGCATAAAGGCTTTGGAGGCCTGCCCTGTGCAAAGGGGAAAATTACTGTCTGGCCCAGAGTGATGGCTTTGTGATGACTGCATTGTGTTCTGGTGCTCTGTGTTTGTACCAAACTGGTTCGCTGCCAAGTTTCTTATGGCTTATCCAAGCACTCAATACAAAGAATGTTGAAAGAAAAACTATTTCTGTTTTCTGTGAGTTCCTCCGGCTGAGAGAATTCAAGCCGCTGTCCAAGTGGCTGTCTCCTCTTTCTGCAGGCCAGTTTTCACCTGGCTGGACAGCTAATGTTACCGTGTGAATCTGCAGTGTGTTTGTGTGTGTGTGTGGGCAGGGATGTACTTCAAGGAGATGGACTGTGAGATCTGAAAGGAAAATGCCTTCTTATTACTTGCCCTGGAGGCAGGCTCGAGAAGTCTCCTGGAGCACTGGGATTACATGATTGGGAAGCCCAGGGCTCATCGTAGCCACAGATGTTCTGAGCCTGCAGCATTTCTCTTCAGCTCCTTGTGAGCAGGCTTCACCTTGCTCCTCAGTGCCCCATCACACGTTGGTGTGCAGGATGGGCGCTGCAGCCTGCCTCCAGCTCTGAGCCTGGGGATGCCTTCCCAAAGTCCTTGGTCTTTGTGCAGCGCTGAATGGCTGAGCTGACCTCGTACTGCACTCATTCTGCAGCTTCATGGCACACGTTGTCTGGCTTGAAGGCTAAGGCTGTGCTGGAAGCTTAGGAAAGGCTGATTGTCAGTGCTGCCAGCAGCATCCTGCAAAGGGCAGGTCAGTGACAGGATTCCTTGCTGTTGGCTGTGTCCCCATTGGCTTGCCCAAATGCGTGGACACTTGGTTGATTGTCAGGGACCTTGGGGGTTTCTTGAGCACTGAGCAGGATAATCAGGTAGATTGTGGGATACATCTGCTTGATCCTATTTCTTATGATTACGTGGTGAGGAACAAGCCTTAATGAGCCTTGGCCTTTTCTGTCTCCTCTGTAAATCTGTTTGACTCAATTGAGCTCTCTTTGTGCCAGACAACTCTCTTTGTGCTTGGAGATGGAAGCATCCACCTCTGAAGCTGGCTGTGCTTTGAGCAGGGCTGTGGATTAGCTGACCTCTAGAGATCCCTGCCAACGTTTTTTTCCTTTTTTTTGTGAGTGTTTGCAGCTGGTGTAATTGTGGTCCTAACCCCTCTGTAGTGGTGCTGGCAGTGGAGGGGATTTTAGCACTGCTTCAGAGAAGCATCGTAGCTGTTTCTGCACCACAGAGAAAATGCTGCCTTTGAGTTAACCATTGTGCTCTAACTTGCTCTCTGGCCTCTGGTCCCAGGGAGCTGCCTCGTGTGAGGCCAGAAGAGATCTGACAGGTGTGGGTTCCTTCTCTGTGTCTCTGGCTGGGGAGAGATGCGCTCAGAATGCCCATATCTCACAGGTGAGAAGGATCTGCAGGTGGTCTCCATCACTCCTAGTGGAAAGCCGAAGGAGGAAAGGTCTTATCCTCTGCCTGGTCTCAAATAAATTGATGGTAGGAAATCAAAAGCCCAGAAGAACAACAAAGGTGTGGTAGGGGTTGTTACTTTCAACAGCGAATGTTTTCAGTGAAGCTGGGGGAAGTTCTGTTTGAAGCACTGTGTGCTGTCCTGGAGCACCCTATGGGAATGCATTCGTTCTGCAGGGCATGTGTGGGACTTCAGCACTTGTAGCTTTCTGACTTCGTTCAGAGACAAATAATTACACAAAAAAAGCTCCTTAAATTGCAGTACTCCTCTACTAGGTTTTTGGCTTAGAATTCCCCAGCAGACAGTGGCAAATAGCTGTCAGCCTTTTGCCTGTGGAAGTGTTTTGGAGAAGAGCCAGTCTCACAGGAGCAAAGAGGAGAGGTGTTCTTTGCATGTTGCTGGACAGGAGGTTGATGATGAAGAAAAGCAGATTGTGAAGATTTCAGGCAGCTGAGGGAGTAGGAGCACCACGGACCACAGTGAAGAATGATAGAGTTCAGAAATCGATTTTTTTCAAATATTTTATTAGATACTGCACTTATTTTTCCTATAGTTGTTTGTTGCAAGATGCAAATGTGGAGAAACGCATGTTTGTAATGGAGGGAGAAGCTCACCAAGGTTTTGGTGTTTTTTTTCTTCTTTGCACTGAAAGGTTTCCTTCTCTCACAGTTCTTTGTTATCTATTGTTTGCGTTAGCTTTCTGATTCCTCAGCTGCCACTTCTCCAGGTAAGAGAAGAGCCCAGGTCAGGGTAGATCATGCCAGTGCCATTATGAACAGAGCAGTGCTTGCAGAGGTAGGTGGTGGACAGCCCGTTTCTCAAGGACAGCAGCATGCAGTACTACTGACCCTGCAGAGTACTGCACCTGTCTTCTGGGGTGCTGTAAATCCAGCAGCTTTAGCAAGGTGCTTTTGGGCAAGTTTTCTATGATTTGGGGTGCAGTACATGCGTCCTCAGCCACCAAGAATTCAGTTTGTGCTGCTCATTCCATAGAGGTCATGACCAGTAACCCACACTCCAAAAAGTGACTCCAAGCCAGAGGCGTGAGTGAGTGGGGGAAGGAGAATGAGTGGCAGTGCACAGAGATGTGTGGTATTTGCATGCCCAAACATCCAGCTCTTGCACACAGCCATTTCTGTAGCTGGTTTGCATCCTGTCAGTAAGGCTTTTCCATTGCAGCAGCGCTGGGGGTGTTTTATTTGTGTGTGGTTTCTGGGTTTGTCCTTTCTGAACAGACAGCAGTCAGGGCTGAAGTTGGACTCTTGGGTGTGCAGTGTGATCCTTGGTGATTCATGGCTCTCAACAGCTGCAGTTAGATCTCAAACAAACTTCTCAGGCATGGCTGTGGTAGAAAATCTGCTGTTTTTCTGTTCATCTAGTAGGAGAACAAAAGCTTTACTTCTTTCCTGTTGTAAAGGTCTACCTCGCATTAAGTAAACTGTTCCCTGAGGGAGAGTGTGTCCAGGTACAGACTGTTCACAAAGGAAGTATTCAAAGTGCCTACCAAGTTCCCAAAGTGTTTGCTTAATATAAGGGCTGGAGCAAAAAATAGAATATTTTCTAATTTGAGAGCAAAAAATACCTCTTGCAAGTGCTAGAAAATTCATTGACCTTCTTCAGCTTGGATCCTGCAGCAGTAAGTGCACGGGCGAGGAGAAAGAGCTGCTGGGAGGCCGCAGTGTGTGCAGATCCCTCTGTTCCAAGCACGCAGCGTGTGCCCGCTGCCTACACGCTGCTGGCACTGTCACAGGAATTTGAGTCTGCAGCCATTTGAGAGGTTTTTGTGTGATGCAGTGTAAGAGCCTTGCTAATCTGGACTTGAGCAGCGGAGGATCCATGTATTGATCTCATGAGGGTTATTTTTGTGGTTTCTTTTGCTGTTTACAGCCGTGCCAGCTTTGCTTCTGAAGCACTCGTAAGCCCAGCGGAGCTGCTCTGTGATGCAGTCATGGCAGTACCTTCCTTGCCGCATGCTCTTGGAGACTCAAATGAGCTTCTCGAATGTCACTGTGGCTCGGTAGGTCCTGGCTGAAGATGCTTGCTTTCCCCTCACTGGCTGTGAAAGCTCCCTGCAGTGCTTTTCCTTTTCTTATGCCTCACTGCCAATACATGTACCAGTATGGCACCCCCTGGCAGAATCTTGATGCTGACTCTTGGGCACCTTTGAAGAGCAAGGATGAAGCTTCCCATGTCCTTCTTTATTTCTGCTGTGAAAGTGGAGAAGAAACAACTTGGGAAGATGCTCTGGCTTTGCTTTCCACGAGGATATGAAAATGCTGTTGGATTGCTGTAGCTCTCTAAAGGCTTTTGTTTCTCTTTCAGAACAAAATAGTTCAATGTGCTGTTTTTATTGTTCCCGTTTCTCTTTGCTATGCAGTATTCCAGGAACACAGCATTTATTTGGAAGCTTTTTTTTTTTTTTTTGTCACTGAAACCATCTTGCATCTGTCTATGAATGAGAGGCTTCACATCCTGGCATATCACGGAAGGAACGGCGGATGCACTAAGTTCTGCACCCATTTGGGTGCAACAAAAAGCTGGAGCTTGGCCTTGAGAAAGCCCAGTGCCCCCTCACTGTCTGCCTTCTCCCAGCAGGTGAAGGGAAGTATCTTTCCTTCTGCCTCACCAGTGCTGTCAGTTAGGATGAAAGCACTTTTGCCTCTCATCTGAGCAGCCACGACCTAGAAATTGTTGAGGAACAGTAAATATAGAACCATACCTTGCTGCTTTTACTGAGTCACTTTTTTTTTTCTCTCTGGAGGAGAAAAATTAAAAAAAAAAAAAAAGGCAAAAAAACTTCAACTCTTTAAATAGCATCATTTACACGTGGGAGCTGCTCGAATCCACCCTGTCACACAAATTACCATCTCTGAACTTGGCTGTCAGGAAGCGTGCTCAGGAGCTGCCATCCGCGGGGGGTGTCAGTGCAAGAGATCGGTTTCATGCAAGCAAGAGGCATCCAACTATTGTGCCAAGACGTTTGTCCTCACATTACCTCGAGCAGCGGGGGCAGCAAACACCCGTATGCCCTTCACTTGTCACACTGCTCTTGTCCCCATTCCCTTCCTTAGCTGCAGGGCTGGCTCTGACATCTGGGGCAAGCCCCCATCCTGCTGTATTTCAAGCAATTTGCGCTTGGCCCAGCAAGCAGCCCTGGAGCAGGGGCTTGATCCTCATTGTTTCCTTAAAGAGATGAAACCACAGCCTTTTCTCTCTTTTACTGCTTTTTTGCAGCTTTGATGCTGCAGTTGCAGCTCGATTGTGCAGAGCTGAGCTGTGCAGCAGGCCTGGCTCGCTGGGAAGGGTTCAAAAGGCAGCACCTTGCCTTTGTTGTATTTCCTGCAAGCTAACGAAACCTGTGTTTTGCGGAGCTACTTTGTAACCTCGTTAGATGTTGGTTTTGGCATGGATGCTTTTATTCCTCCCGTTTGAAACAAGCTGGAGAACAAAGTGAATGAAATGCCAGTTCCCAAGAAGGGTAAAATGCACAGAGCTGTAAGGATGTATCATGGTGAGAGTGGCTGTGATTGTTTGCTGCCAGGAGCTGAAACGGGGAGAAGTGAAACTTCAGTGTCAGGGGTGGGTTTCTGTCAACTGTTTTTATCTTCTGGCTGTCTGCGGGGAGTCTGACTGCAGCACATGAGCGCTCTGTGTGATGTCAGCCCAGAAAGCACACATTTTAGGCTTTCCCTGTGGCTGCACGGAGAGGGAATTTGCAACAATCCAAACATTGACAGAACTGTATTTGTTGACTCGCAGAAAATCCTAGCTCGTGCTCCTCTGGGCTGCAATCACTTAAGCCTGAACATGATGACTTCTGTCTGTGCTTGCTGCTCTCCCGGCCTCAATAAACCTGGGAACCAGAGGCATTTCTTCTGATTCAGCAAAGCACTCAAGTACAGCTCCAGCTGTCCTCCCTGCCGCTGTCACTGCCACTGTGCTCGGGGTGAAGCAGTGCTTAAGCCTTGTGTGTGTGCAATGAGGGATTTGGGCTGTGTGTGCTGAGGGATGTTCTGCTGCTTGTCAGGCAGGTAGCAAAGATGCACTGGCACTGTAAGATATTATTTGGTTAGCTGCCCATGTTATAGCACCCGTGTGAGACTCTGTGATGTTGTTGGCCTGCAGGGAGGTGGGTGTGTGGTTCTCATGGCAGAATATTCCTGGTATCTGCTCCTGACTGCTGAGCAAACCTGTGCCCTTCTGCAGGCTGTGGGGCAGGGCTCTCCTTTCTGTTTCTATCGGCAGATCAAATACTTTGTAGTTTTGTTTCTAGGAGTTGTAAGAGAGCAATATGAGCCATGTTACCTGTATCCGAGCGTTTCAATATTTGTGGCTTAATGACTTCTAGGATTTACGTGACTTATCTTCCATCTTGAGGACCCCAAACAGCTTATTGAGTATGTGTGTGCCTGTAAAGTCTGAGCACATGGTGTGCTCCTGAATTACATGGGTGAGAGAAAGACAAACGCTTGCGTTGTTACAGACCTTAGGATTTCTCACGGAAATAATAGTCACAGCTATGCTGCTTGCACAATGTGCTGTGGTTATGTGAAGTTCAGAGCCTTGCTTTCCCTGGAGCCTGAAACTGTGCAGTAGGCACCTAATGCACAAGATGGTTGTACTTCAGTCTGCTCAGAGCAGCTCCTGGGAGCATTCCTTCTAATCCCCACCCATATTTGACCTGTTGTAGCTCGTTTTAGAGAGCTGCGCCCAGCCTGTCCCTAGCTGGCTGCAGGGAGGCTTCTGCACATCTTTTCCTGCTCGCTGAGCTCACTTGGACTGGGAGACATGAGTGAATGGGATTTGTGTGTGGATTTGCTCCTTCCACAAAATCAGAGTTGATTGAGAGCATCCCTGTTTCTTAAAATCCCAGAAGACACAAGCGTGGTGAGATGTGCTTTTTATTACTTTCCTTTGAAGTTTAAAACACATCTAGCAAATCTGATCTTGCTGTTCCCCAACTGATGTCCAAAAATGCAGAGGTCTTCCCAGAAGCATGGCTTAGCAGAACTTCTGCACCATTGCAGCCGTCCTGCATTCAACAATCCAGGCGCTTTGTTAGAAACTCGACTCCAATCAGCCTAGAGCAGACTTATAGTGTAGTTTTAGCAAATGTTGTTTTCCGTGTGAAATAACTCAGCCCATGAATCAAACAGGCTCCCTGCCCCACCCCCTGCAGCCGATGACAGCAGCTTCCCACACGCCTTCCTCCTAGCATTGTGTGGCTGCTCCAGCAGGTCTCGGTTACCGATCGGCGTAATTGCAAGTCACACCAATAATAAAAGAGGAATGAAAGCTTCCTATTCTTGTAGTTGAAGGCTCTTCTGCAGAAGTTTGAAGCCTTACCAGCGGTCATGTGAGCAACATGCTGCACTCCCCAAGAGCTTGCCAGAGTGGATGGCAGTGTTTTAGGAGGTTAGAAGATGGGATCATAGAATCACAGAATGGCCTGGGTTGAATAGGAGCACAATGCTCATCCAGTTCCAACCCCCTGCTATGTGCAGGGTCGCCAACCAGCAGACCAGGCTGCCCAGAGCCACATCCAGCCTGGCCTTGAATGCCTGCAGGGATGGGGCATCCACAGCCTCCTTGGGCAACCTGTTCCAGTGCCTCACCACCCTGTGTGTGGAAAAACTTCCTCCTAATATCTGACCTAAACCTCCACAACATCAGTAATATTTGATGTACAGCGTTGGTGCATCACATATTAGAGTGGAACTCTTAAGGATGGCTGCAATAATGGATGCCAAGGGCACCTGGGATGGGGTGCATTGGGAGCTGCTTGTTGTGCAGTATGAGGTGCTGGAGTCGGAACGGCTTGAGCAGTGTTCGCTCTCACGGAGAAGTGTGGCTGTGAACAAGGGGTTAATTTGTTCCCTTTACGCACGGCTCACGTTTCCCTGCCAGGTTTGCTTTTCACTTCATAGGCTCCAAACGTCTGGATGCACCACCGCGTGTCCTCACGTCACACCGCCGGCATGGCAGTGGGTTAAACCCACCGGAGCGGGTGGAGGGCTGAGCTGCGCCGCTTCCTTCTGCTTTGTGCGCAGGGAACCACGGCTGCTCCTCCTGCTGTGCTCCTGCGGAAGAGGGGAAGGAGGTGGGGGAGATGAATGGAAAAAATGCACCGTTCCTAAAGCCCCCGCGGTGGGGTATTGCTGCTCTGTGTGGAATGGTGCCTGCTTACAGAGCTACCCCTGCCCCACAGGCATTAAGCTGGGGCCTGGGCCGGGCACAGCCTTGAGGCCGAGGCATTCCGTGTGCAGTGGGCACAAAAATGAACGTCTGCCAGAAGAGATCGATCTGAAACAATCTCTTTTATTGGGCGGCTGCCCAGAGCTTCTGCTGCAACAGCCGATCTAATTGGTTGTTTCCTCCTCCCATGCGCAGCTTCGTGTGGGAAATGCCCTTTTTATCTACAATGGCTGACTGCACTGTGCCGCACTGTCAGCGTCTGGGGAGCCCCGCGCGTGCGGCTGCCGCTTAACGCTGAGTTTGGAGAGGGGCGATTGTCTGGTTGGAGCTGATTCTATTTCTCTTTTCCCTGCAGGTTGCTGAAAAGTGCCTTTCCTGAAGCCACCGCTGCTTGGATTTCTGTCTAGGGCTGCCTCTCTCTTCCCCCTCACCCCTTTCTTTTTAATTTGGCGTTGCTTGCAGTCCGTACCCTGACGGCAACTCATCCATCTTCTTTTTTTTTTTTTTTTTTTGTGCTCCCTGTTTGCACGCAGTTTGCTCAGCCATTTTTTCTTCCCCCGACTATGTAGCAAATATTTAAAAAAAAAAAAAAAAGAAAAGAAAAACCTAACATCCTTTTGCTCGTTTTGATGCTCGTGAACAGTAATTTTGAGAAGCAAGAAAAAGAAGGAAAAAAAAAAAAGTTTTCCCCCCAAGGACTGAGACCATTCCACAAACTGAAGTGCTGCCAGCAGCATATGCTTTTTGCAAGAATAATTGAAACCATTAACCAGAGAGCACAGAATTCTTTTGAAAGTCTGCCAGTTATTTTCAAGTAACTTCGGCAGTGGCACAAAATATAACACTTATATTTTAACTTCTACAATTGCACTTTTAGGAGCTGGCCTCTAATTTGATTTGCAGTTACTCTGATAAGATTTCTATTTTATGATTGGCTTTATGTTTGATTCTTGTTTAAACAAACACGATTTGACTTAAATGAAAACCTAAGTGCTGATGAATAGGAGTTCTACCAAAGCAACAAGTTAGTTATTTCTTCACGTTTCACTTGAATTCACTTTTTTACCCTTTTTTTTAAATAAAGAAAAGAAGATCAGCAGTAAATATTGCCCTGAAGAAGGGTGCGATTGCTTGCATTTTAATTTTTGTTTTTAATATGGCTGTGAACGTTTCCCTGGTTCGTGATACAAAATGGCTGACGTTAGAAGTGTGTCGAGAGTTTCAGAGAGGAACTTGTTCTCGGTCTGATGCAGAGTGCAAGTTCGCCCATCCGTCACGGAGTTGCCATGTGGAAAATGGTCGAGTTATTGCCTGCTTTGACTCCCTAAAGGTGAGGACGTCTAACACGTGCGTTACCTAAGCTCACTTGCTTTCCTTCTCTTCCGAATCGCTCGGCTATGAGTGTTACAGAACTGTTTTTTGCTCTCTTTCTGCCGAAAGGTTGGTGTGGGATGTGGCTCCTGAAATCTGGGTTAGCCGGGAGCCTGCCTCTCCTTTGTTTGGTCTCATTCAAAAATGGGAAGTTCCAGATCGCTTTTTGCTTAGAGATCACAGCCAGAATGGAAATAAGTGATGAGGGGAGAACTCTGCCACGGTGCTGCATTGGTTGGATCTGGCATCAGGTGTAACTGCATCAAGTGTCGCATCATGGAGAGAAAAAAGAGAATTTTGTCCAGAACATTTCCTAACTGTAGCTCAGGTCTGATGCAGCTCTCCTGGAAATGAGGAATGCATGTTGTGGGCAGTAAATGAAACCAAAAGGAGAAAAGTAGAGAACTGAAACCCAGTGCTTCGTTTGTGTCCAGAGCACATTGGCCATGTATTCAGCACAGAGATCTGAAATGTGCTTTTAATGAGCAGAAATGAAAGCAGCATTTTAAGATAATGAATCAGCTTTATGTCTATTTCCTGGAGACGGAGCTGCAGATGTACTCTACCACTGTCCTGTAGATGAGGAACAGGCAAAATATTTGGAGAGCAGCGCTCACAGGGAAAAAAGGATGTTGGGAAAATGTGTTCTGCAAGGGATGTGAGAGCACCACGGATCTGCTGAGCTTGTCCAGGTTCGAGCTGAGCCTTTTCGCCAGCAGTTGTCTCTGTATGGTCAGTTTTGCAGGAAGCAAATGGTTCTTGATTCCTTATCACTGTCAGGGTTCTGGAGTAACTTTCAAAACTTAGGAAGTATTCACTTTCTGAGCTGAGGGTTTTTTTGCTTGTGTGTTTTTCTTTTTTAAGTGAAACCTCTCAAGGTTGGTTTAACTGAGCTGATAAAAACCTTGAAATGTCATGCGTGATTGCTTTTGAGAGCTCTTCACGTTGTGTCTGGTGTTTTGATTTGAATAATTAACCTGTTTGAATTTCTAAAAGGAATCTGGTGAATTTTACAGGCTTGAAAGTTTTCCCTTCAACTGTTGCATGAAAACCTTGGGGTTTATTTTTATGAACACAATGACTAACAGAACTGGTGGAGTTCTGTATGCGCAGGTTCAGACCGGGGCTGGATCTGGTCTAACACGGCTTTATCCATTTTATCACCGTTTGTGGCTTTTTATATTTTCACTTCTGTTCCCTTTCACCAAGAAGTTCAAGCTTCCTATTTGCATTTGGTTTTGCTCGTTTTAATCTGAATATATGCAACGACTTTAGTTGTGCAGTGACTTTCAAATGTTTATTTACAGTGCTGGCCTTATGATGGTGAGGGACAAAAATATTCTTTATCAGATGGGGAGGGGGAAAGTCACGTCCTTTGTGCCCTTGAAACTTTCTGAATTGTCGCCAGTGGCAGTGCAGATACCTTTGAAGAGATGAATATGTTTGTTTTATAGCATTCATTTGTGAACTGAAAGGAGTGCTGTAACGCCATGTAAGATATTTCCATGTCCCTTGCAACAAAAGCGCGCTTCAGCAGTGGGGGATGTGATGGGAAATACTGTGTTCAGAAAGGAGAAGAAAAAAAGAGTTGGGTATGATCTTCAGCAGCTCAGCTTCTTCCCTCTGCATCTGGTTGTTAAATGATGTTTTCATTGCAGTTTTCTCCTGGCACAGTAGTATGTGCCCTGTATGTGCTAGATCCCAATTTTCATGGGTTTTTTAGACTCCATGGGGCTGTCCTCAGCCTGAGGAGAGTGGGCAGTTCTGTCTCCCCTCCCAGCCAGCACACCTGGAGGAGAGAGAGCACACAGCTTGATGGTGGGGGCAATTTCTGCACCCTGCTGCTCCCACAGGGAGTGGGTCCGAGCCCTTCTTTCCTCCACAGAGATCTTCTGGGTGGGTCTGGGTGCTCTCTCTGGGAGTGCCCAGTGCTGCTGCCCCATTGCAGGGTGCAGCTCCAGAACCACAGCCTGCTTTAACAACCGGCTGGTTAGCCAGGGTGGGTGGATGTGTGTGTGTGCACCACACGTTTCCCAGAGGAGATAACAGCCTTGGTGACTAACCATTCAAACAATAGTCCTTCTGTTCTAGGGCCAGAGCTGGGCTTGCAAGGCCCTGTTTGCAGTAGTATCGAGGGACTTGTGGTCATAACAGTGGCCTCCCTTACTGGTTGCAAGGGCAATGCTATGCACACATGTGGAGCTGTCTGAGTGTGCAGCTGTTCTCTCGCTAGTGGCTGTGGGGCACTGAGTTCACCTTTGTCTTTCACCATACTGCTGCCTGCTGGGGGTTCAGCCCTCTGCACAGCATTGGACTGGGGCCTCACCCTTAACACTAACCTGTTACGGGGAGGTTTTGTTTGCCCATCCTATGGACGTCTCTGTGCTCAGCCTCTTCCCCTCTGACAGCTGCTGAACGCTGATCCTTTCCTCCCCAATGAGAGCTCCATCGCTGCTCAGTGCTCTTTTCATCTTTTTACGCCCTGCATTAGCACAACATCTGTGTTGCTTTATTGGAGACAGGATATAGGATGCTCACAGCTAATAAGTTTTCCCGTTGTCTCGCAGTCACCCAGGGCTTTGTTCAGAGGTTGCTTATCTGCATCCATTGTGTAGTGCCGTTGCTTGTTTTTTCTCACAGACCTCTTAAGCCTGAACAATGCGTTCATACAGGAACTTTGATAACCCAGCATACAATGGTTTCACCTCGCTGGTCAGGTCACGCACAGCATCTATATGCTTACTGCGTTTTTTTTCCTTCCCCAATCTCATGCTGCAGTTCTCCTTCTGTGATTCCGGAAGTCAAATGCTTTGGTGTGTGTTGGTTCACATGAGCATGCACTACCTGTAAACGTGCTAGGAAGATAGAAGGGCTCTTGGTGAAGTGATGCAGGGGCTGTACTGATGCTAGGAGGGATCTGCCTGTGTGCTCTGTGGGTGTTGTGTGGCTGTGAAGAACTTCAGTCGTCAAATTTGGGTCTCAATTAGGTTGCGAGTTCAGGACTGCTGCCCTGGAACTGTGGTTCTTCAAAGGGAGAGCTTGCACATTTGTAGGCAACAGAAGGAACCTTTCTCAAGCAGATTGATATGAAATTTAAAAATAGTTCCTGTGAGAAGCTGTTCACGGATTTGAATCGGGTGCCAAGAGAGCTCTCACTCTTTACTCGTGCTTCCCCTACCTCATTATTCTTTAAGAACTGTGTTATTTGAATTCATTTGTATGAATGGAAAGACAAGTGAGCCCTGCTTGGTGAAGGGCAGCGCAGGGTCCCCAGGTCAGCTGTGGCTGTGCCACCCCTGAGTGCCCTGAGCAGTGACAGCCTGGCCAGGTGCCATGGGGACATGTGGCCATTGCTCAGTACTATGGCCTTCAGGAGTTCCCTTCACCTGCAGGGTTCTGGGATAGAGAACAGCTGATGGCATTGTTCTGAAACATCCTCATTGCTTTTCCAGAGGGGATGCCTTGCCTGCTGCAGGCTGCTCACTGCTGGGTGACGTGCAGTCTGTTGGATTTCATTGAGGAACATTTGTTTAAGAAAGTAGAAGTATGAAATAACATTTGAGCAAAGGAGAAGACTCTGCTGTCCTCGCTGTAAACCGAGATGGCTGTAGTGTTCATTCCCCAGCTTTTGTCCCGGGCTCGGCACACCCCATCCCATGGGTAGCTGATGCCTTTTGCAGGGGTCAGGACACGGTTTGCTGGCGCGTGGCACTGCTCACAAAGGCTCTGTGGCCCTGCGGTGGGCTGTCTGCAAGCACTCATCAACTCATTAACCTTTCCTTTCAGACGGGATCAGGCAGCCGCAGCATGAGATGTCTGAGTCCTGATTCGCTAGCCAGCAAATCCTTCGTTGGCTTCTCCAGTTTGTAAAGATGTCAGGGAAGGAGAACCACCAAACTTCTTTCTTCAGTAGAAGCACAGATTAATGAGCAGTAAGCGGAGAGAAGGAGCATTAGTAGATAGTGAGGCATTATGTAAAAATATGTAGGTGACGGGTACCAAGTGTTCAAAGAGGCTCTCGTTCATACTGCTCACAGTTTGTCCGCACAGTGGCCTTGTGGTTAAAAAGCACAAACCCAGCTTTCTGGGGTGTCTTTTTCTTTTAATTCGCTTGGAGTGTGGATGCTCTCATGTGCAGAGGAGTTGTGAAGAGCACCTTGAGAGACAAAAAGGCAGCACGGTGGAAACTTCAGGGTAATGGATTTTGACTTCAGAAGATAACTTGTTAAGCACGTCATGAAGCTGCTATCTGTTTCATACCATTTCTTTATAAAATCATCTGTAAACAGGCAGAAAAACAGTAGTTAAAATGTACAAGTTGTACTCGATGGTATGTTTTCTAAAAGTTATCATTATCTGGTAATAGTTTTCCAACTCGCACGGCAGCCTGAAAGCTGGCTGTGCTCACATTTGGCCTTGCTGTACCCGAGGCTGCTGTACAGTTGTCATGCTAATTTGTACTTGTTTTGTGCTGACTTCACTGGAACTACATGTGATTGTTACTGATTTGCAATCAAATCTTTTTTTTAAACTACAAACTAGGAAACAACTGAAAACACCCACTAAACTTAGCATATGGTTATGCTCTTACAGAGGAAGAAGAAAGAAAAGAAAGCCGTAGAGATATTTATGGAGAGACCCTGACTGTATCTCTGCTCAGTGTAATGGAAAGGCAGATAACGCAGATGAATGGTTTTGAGCCAAGTCACCTTTGAGAGAAACCTTTACTTCCCATCAGTTTAAGTCATTTACCTGCATAGTGGTAAGTGACTTAAAGCATTTGATGGCAAGGAATGGATTTGCAGCAGCGTGTTGTTGACATTCACTGTCTTGTCTGGATGCTTGCATGTCTCATGGCATATTTTAGATGCTTTTTTTTTTTTTAAGCTACTGAGTGAAATAGCTGAAAATGGTCAGGGGAATGGTTATTTAGACTGCACTTTATTTGTAAGAACTGTT